TACTTCATAAACATATAATAAAATTTTCCCTCATGAATTTAAGCTAACGTGATCAGTTATGCTAGAACTAAAATTACTGCTGTTTAATACAGCATATGAGAGGAAATTAGATTTCAGGAGAACAGATATAGATGGTGATGGAACTATAATTCCATTTCCAAATAGGAAATTTCACATCATTAACTTGTACAGTCTCTAACAAAACACCATGCAAACTAACTTCGTGACTTTTCAACAGCTCTGATGAGGTGATTTTATTTACTTATTAGCATATATTAGTAATCAGAATACTTCGGTTTGCTTTGAAAAATTGGTACATGAAAACACATGAAATATAATCATTTTCAATCCAGTTACCCCCCAAAAAAATCTACCTTGAAATAAATCCTGATAAATAGAAGTATGTAAAAATTTTACTATATGAAAAAGTCCCCACTCTTCCCTTCCTACCTTCCATGCTGGGAATCAAACCTAAGGCCTCAAATATATTAGGCAAGAACTATCATTTTAATTCATTTTAACGACTTGAGATTATACTCTGGCACATGCTAATGGTTTATAATCTAGATTACACCTTTCTGGACAGTTTAAAGCAAACTCCTTGTTCCTTTATAGCCACTACTTCAGGTCCGTGACAGTCATATGAAAAGATAATGAATAAATGACATTACATTAAAACTCTAAGAAGCTATGTATGCTATTATTTGATAGTGGGAACTGAGGCTTAAAGAGGTAAAGTGATTTGTCTAAGGCAGGTCCAAAACCTTAATCCTCTGGGTTAACTCTTTCCAAAAGAGGCATTTAATCTCATACGTTTGGCCTACCTTGTCTACAGGTTATTGCTACATACTTTCTACTTCGCTTGTTGTTTTATTTCCTAATTTTTAAGTTTTCTCAACATGAACATATTTATTAGATTGCTCAGCAAAGGGTATGTCCAATGACAATTATAACAAGGAAATTTAGGGGCTCGAGAACCGAGCGGAGCTGGTTGAGCCTTCAAAGTCCTAAAGCGCGCGGCCGTGAGTTCGGGGTTTATTGATTGAATTCCGCCGGCGCGGGAGCCTCTGCAGAGAGAGAGTGCGAGAGATGAAAATGGACAAACGGATTCATTTAGAGCTGCGGAACAGGACGCCCTCTGATGTGAAAGAACTCGTCCTGGACAACTGTCGGTCGAACGATGGCAAAATCGAAGGCCTCACAGATGAGTTGGAAGAACTGGAATTCTTAAGTACAATCAACGTTGGCCTCACCTCAGTCGCGAACTTACCAAAGTTAAACTCAAGAAGCTTGAACTAAGCGATAACAGAATCTCAGGGGGCCTGGAAGTATTGGCAGAAAAGTGTCCGAATCTTACGCATCTAAATTTAAGCGGCAACAAAATTAAAGACCTCAGCACAATAGAGCCCCTGAAGAAGTTAGAAAACCTCAAGAGCTTAGACCTTTTCAACTGCGAGGTGACCAACCTGAACGACTACCGAGAAAATGTGTTCAAGCTCCTCCCGCAGCTCACGTACCTCGACGGCTACGACCGGGACGACAAGGAGGCCCCTGACTCGGACGCCGAGGGCTACGTGGAGGGCCTGGATGATGACGAGGAGGATGAGGATGAGGAGGAATATGACGAGGATGCTCAGGTAGTGGAAGATGAGGAAGATGAAGATGAGGAGGAGGAAGGGGAAGAGGAGGACGTGAGCGGAGAGGAGGAGGAGGATTACAACGATGAAGAAGGTTACAACGATGGGGAAGTCGATGATGAGGAAGATGAAGAAGAGGCTGGTGAGGAAGAACAGGGTCAGAAGCGAAAACGAGAACCTGAAGATGAGGGAGAGGATGATGATTAAGTGGAATCACCTATTTTGAAAAAAAAAAATTCCTATTGTGATTTGACTGTTTTTACCTGTATCCCTCCCCACCTCCAAATCCTGCCCCCTGAAACTTATTTTTTTCTGATTGTAACCTTGCTGTGGGAACGAGAGGGGAAAAGTGTACTGGGGGTTG